AACGTAATGTTAATGGAACGCAAAAGGCGGAACTGGAAGTGGGTAAGTGCAGCGCCCAGACAGTCTGTGGCGACACATAACAAAAACACTACTGGATGAGAGAGAAACGCGACCGGCTCCCTCTGCATTAAAAGCCAGGTTAGATCAGGAGTCACAACACAAATGATAAGAAGAGACATTTTGTCCTTTAGCATAAATCAAACCACCTTGGGAGCCGCAACATTCAATGTCCAGTATGTCTCAGTGTGTGTTAATGTCCTAGTATAGACTAAACAATATAAACGAAAACGCAGATTTACTTCGCTCTGCTTTAAGCTTTAGCTACAGCCGCTTTCCTCCCATCTCCGTCAGAAAACTTTTCCTCAGAAGTAGATCAGTTAAATGTCTCTCAGCGTTCGACTGTTTTACGAGGCTGAAGTCGCTTCTTATTCTCCAGCTGCTTGTTCGAATTTTCCCGTTCCACCTTAAATTCTAACTGAGGCGCCGAATGTAAATGCGGCACCATTTAAGGTGGAACGGGAGAATTCGAAAGAGAAGCGACTTCATCTTCGCCACTTTTTACTGTTTGACAGTCTATCGTTGCAGATTTAACGTACCAGGAAACCAACTGTGCTGCTTATAAATGCGAATAACGCATCGCTGCTATGTGACCTGCAGTCCGCACGCCGGTTCTCAGTCGTTGCGAAACAGGGCTTTCGCGCTATGTTGCACACGACCCGTCTCAAAGATATTTTACTGACACAGCGACCCCCCCGTCTCAACAACGAGACCAAAACCGAAGTTATAAAATCACTAAAGAAAACGGGTAGAATAGCTGTAACGTGCTGCGTGGACATCCATCACCACTGGATCTTATTTCACCGTAACTGCGCATTTTATCACAGATGAGTAGCAGCAGCTTCTCGTGCTCCAAACAATGAGAGCCTTCCAGTTCACTTGCCACATCACTTCCATTTGTTTTATTAAAAAAGATATTGGAAGTAAATTCATTATGGATCATTACAAATACTTTGCTTTAAAAGTACCAAGTCACTTTAAATAACAACACTGAGTCACTTAGTCACTTTAAAATGTGTGAGTAAAGTGTGTGTTGCGCTGGTCTGAGTGGATCAGACACAGCAGTGCTGCTGGAGTTTTTAAACACCTCAGTGTCACTGCAGGACTGAGAATAGTCCACCAACCAAAAATATCCAGCCAACAGTGTCCTGTGGGCAGCATCCTGTGACCACTGATGAAGGACTAGAGGATGACCAACACAAACTGTGCAGCAGCAGATGAGCTATCGTCTCTGACTTTACATCTACAAGGTGGACTGACAAGGTAGGAGTGTCTAATAGAGTGGACAGTGAGTGGACACAGTGTTTAAAAACTCCAGCAGCACTGCTGTGTCTGATCCACTCGTACCAGCACAACACGCTAACACACCACCACCACGTCAGTGTGTGTGTGTGTGTGTTTGTGTGTGTGTGGTTGTGTGGGCTCTTCAGGTTTGTTATTGTCCAGTAAAGTGCATTTTATTGTTTGGCCTTTTGTAAAATAAGGAATAGATACCTTGATTACCAATACAATTAATAGTGACAGTCTAGTGCTAGTGCTCAACATCAGACTGTACACAAAGACCACACAGACATAAAGTCTGTAACCTTTCATTGCAAAAAAGGCAGCATTTACATCTTCCATAGCTGGAAAATAATATGTAAACGTGTGGTGAATCACAGACTCGGAGCCAGCCGCCAATATGGTCTCAGTAATGGAGGGTTTCAATTCCCGGAAAACTTCAACGCATGTCATGTGCTATAGAGCATATACATACAGTGGCACCAAAAAGTATTTGGACATTTGAGCCACACTTAAAAGTGTATTCATTTTATTGCGTTAGGAAACAAACTGTCAAATCAAGTGGTGTATATTTTCAACTGACCGTTCCAAGACTGTCATTTACTTTCTAGGCTTGTTACTACACTCTTAAAAAAAGATGGTTCTTCAAGGGTTCTTTGGTCAAGAAAATGGTTCTATATAAAACCATGAACACTCAAAGAACCCTCTGCATGATCAAAGGGCTCTTTGCATCATTAAAGTGTTCTTTAGATTGATGGAGAATGTGCTACAGATGGTTCTATATTGGACCTTTTTGAAAATGGTTCTATATAGCACCAAAAAGGGTTCTTCTATTGTTGCAAGCTTGACATCAGAATAATAGAAGAAATTTTTTGATGCTATATAGAATCCTTCGATATAGAGCCATAGACAACACATTCTCCATCAATCTAAAGAAACTTTTAACGATGCAAAGAACGCTTTAATCATGCAAAGGGTTCTTTGAGTGTTCATGTTTCTATATACAACCATTTTCTTTACTAAAGAAGCCTTGAAGAACAATCTCTGTGTAGAATCTGGCTTGTATAGCATGCATGACAATCTGCATGACCTTAATATTGATGATTAGGGATGTCTTTACGAAAATGATTTGGGTGACTATGGACTTCTAGTGTTTGTTAGCAATGTTAGCCTCATAGCTCCAGCGCTAAACTAAAGAATCATAATTTGGACTCCAAACCCATCTAGGCTGATCAACTACATCTGGGGTGAGCAGAAAATTGTGTAAATTAGATTTTCCACTGAACTTTTTTTTAAAGCTTTAGTTCAGCAAAAATTCACATAGTGTCCCCCCAAATGTAGTTGGTCAGCCAAGACATGATTGGTGTCTGGAGCTTCTTTAGTTTTGTGATGGAGTTATAAGGCTAATGTAACTGACAAGTAAAAGAAGCTCATACCTTGCTAATAAGCGTTATGCTAGGTGCATGCTTTTCTGACACTGTATAATTGTAGTTATGTACAAAAATAAAGGTTTAAAGAAAACTGCATTATAGGCCAGTATCATATATAATCCAGAGCAGGACCTTTTAGTGCTTTATTTGAGACTATTTACAGCTTTGCACCCACTTAGTATTGACTTAATAACACACAGCTGACACTGGACATAAAATCTCACTACAGAATATGAGACTTAGACCGTATGGCCAAACTGCAATTTCAGTGGCGCTTCTACAACAGTCAGGATGAAAGTTTCTAAAGCATATTTAATGAATAAGTGAGCAAAATGATACACAATCTTTTTATTCCTTCAAACTGCCTGCATTCCCCACTTTCCTCCAAAAGGGTCAAGAAATGAAAAATACATTTTTACTATGCAAATAAATGGTAATGATCACAGAGCATAGGGAAGGACAAAAGAGACAGTGTAGCGAGGACTACGATCCAATCGTAATAATAAAAATCCAGGAGTACATCACAGACCAGTGTGGTGACAACAGTGAAAATGGCACTGAAATCAGTATTAATGCCCAAAGGCTGTAGAAAGGGAAGGACAGGACACTGCTCACAGAATTTTAACAGCCCTAAATCCTCACAGCGACACAAGATACATCCTCACTGATAACACAGAGCTGCAGCACTTTGATCCAAAGCTCCTTAACCTACCGTGCTTTGCTTTGGCTATTTTATGTTTGGCCATCCAAAAGATAACAGGACCCCAGGCCTTGGACACTAACAGAAGCTGATTAATGCAGCTAGCCTAGGAACAGATGAAGCATACAGGACATGTAGAATACAGCACTGTCATTTTAAAAAAGCTTAGTTTTATTGTTATTTGAGTTCAGAGAAATATTAAATGTCACTGTCAGCTAAACTGACATGTGACTAGTGTTATCAGGCCCAGTTTTTCTATCCACACCTAAAGCTGACTTATTTTTGAAAGTAATGACAGTAAGTGGTACTGGGCAAGAAAGCATTCAAATGGCTGGTAGTGTTCATGAATTAAGGGTCCAACCCCTTTACGTTACCTCGGGGGAAGGCCGTCTTAGGCATCTGGGGTGAACCTGAGGTGAATTTTTGTGGACCATGTGAGAATTTAGAGATGCTTCTTGAAAAATTACAGAAATGTGAACGCTCATTGGCATTTAGGAAATATAAATGTGGACAAAGACGGTGCTAGCTAGCAAACACCACACAACACGACATTGAATCAAAACACTTGGAGACCTGGAGTCACTTAATGACTTAATTCAGCTTTATAAAATTGTTACCGAAGGCCACAACTGATAATAAAGTCATTTAAAACACACACGTACAGAAACGACACACAAATATCTTTAATCAACTTAACTTTGGCTGATTTTTCGTCATTTACTCTCCAAACGCGGGAAACGCGTTCGTGTTCTCGTTGCCACAGTAACGGAATGTGCTAACACGGCTAAGCTAAGTTACTTTCCCCACCCGTATTCCGTCAAGTCCCGCCTTCTGTGACAGGATTGGCTAGAAAAATCCCTCCTGCGCTATGACTGGCTAGTAGGATTGTCTATTGGCGAACTGTCTCTGAGTGTGAAGTATTAGTCAATCCTAGATGGTTCTATCGCAAGAGGCGTGATACTATTAGCCAATCGAAGCGCAGGAGGTGGAACTTGTCTGAACACGAGTGGATTAAAAAATAACGCCCCCTTTCACCAATCAACTACTGTAACATGCCAGCATCTAAGCGACTCATAAACAAGTCGCAAACTGCTAAATATCTCCTTCGTCGCCTCTTCACCTCTTAGGATAGGTAAACTGCAAAATAGCTCTGAACTGTAGCTAGGTGAGCTGCTGTAAAGTGTAAAGCAGCTGTAAACTCTAGGCTGTGAACACTTAACTAGAAACTTTAATATGCAAAAATAGGTGTAAACTGTAGTACAGCTACCGTAATCTGTCATCTGAAAACTAGCTGTTAAACTACTGCAAACCAGCTGCAAGCAGAGCTAGTTTGTGAACTATAAAACTATCCGAAAGCTGCAAACTAGCTGTAAACAATATTGAACAGCTGTAAAATACAAACTAGAAAGAGTTTCTGGGAAACCGCTCCACAAACAACAGCCCATCCACATTGCTTACATATTTCTACAAACATAAACAAAGCCATTCGCCTTCGCTGCACTTAAAAGAGTGTGTTTTGAGAGTCAGCTCACCTTGTTGGACACACTTGAGGCGGACGGGGTCTTTACTGTGCCTGACCACAGCCAGCACGTCTCGGACGGTCAGTCCCGCCACTGGAGTGTCGTTCACCTCCAGCAGAAGCTCGTCCTGGGCTAGCGGGCAGCCGTGAAGGTCCAGCAGCGGAAACTGTCCGATCTCCGCGCCTCCCTTAACGCTGAACCCGAGCTGCCCCTCTCCGTCCCGGCTAAGCACGACCTCATGGACCCTGTTGGTCCAGTGGTTCTTCTTCTTCTTCTGCTTCAGGCTTTTGGACATGTTTGGATCACAGCAGGGCTGCCACTGAGCAGCGAGTTGTATCAGGCAAGTCCAAGACCAAGTTGAAGTCTGGACTGTCCATTGTCCAGAAGATGATTTTGAAACTGCGTTACTGTAAACTAAACTGAGAGGGGAGAGAGAAAAAAAGAAAAAAAACTCCTCGCCAAACAGTTGCAGACAACTGAGCCGGATGTGATGTCTGGATGGAGGAGGAGAAGAGAGGAGAGGAGAGGAGGAGAAGAGGAGCGAGGGGTGGGGGTGGTGGTGGGGGGGGGAGAAAAGAAAAGTAGCGGAACTTCCATCACACTATCGCCTCTGGGAGCGTTTCGCCTTCGCCTTTTCGGGGTTGCCAGATTGGAGCGAAGGTTGCCAGATTGACCGTTCCTTGTTGAAAAAGTCTCTCATTTCACTACAAAATAGCTTAAAATTTAGATGTAGATTTGTTCAATGAATGTTACTAATGTAATGAGCAGTTTAGACCAAAAATGAAATACAACATACAAACAAATATATCACTTAATATATAATGATATTATAACCCCATTTCCAAAAAAGTTGGGACACTGTGAAAAATGTAAATATAAACAAAATGCAATGATGTGCCATTTAAACCATATATTTCATTGAAAATGCTTCAAACACAACATATCAAATGTTGAAACTGAAAAAATGTATTGTTTTTCTGAAAAATATATGCCCATTTTGAATTTAATGCCAGGAATACCTTCCAAAAAAGTTGGGATGGGGGCAACAAAAGGCTGGTAAAGTTGTGTAATGCAAAAAAAAACCTGGTAGTTAATTGGCAACAGGTCAATAACATGGTTGGGTATGAGGAGGGGTTCACCACTTTGTGAAAGCCTGCGTGAGCAAATAGTGCAACAATTTAAGAATAACGTTTCTCAATGTAAAATAGCAAAGAACTTTTGCTTTTCATCATATACAGTACATAATGTCATTAAATGATTCAGAGAATCTGGACGCAAGGGACAAGGCTGGAAACCAGTATTTGCTGACTGTGATCTTTGGGACCTCAGATGGCACTGCATTAAAAACAGACATGATTCTGTAGTGGAAATCACTGCATGGGCTCAGAAACACTCTTCAAAACCACTGTCTGTGAACACAGTTCGTTGCTGCATCAACAAATGCAAGTTAAAACTCTAAAACACAAAAAAGAAACCATATACAAACAGGATCGAGAAATGCTGCCAGCTTCTCTGGGCCTGAGCTCATTTAAAATGGACTGAGGCGAAGTAGAAAAGTGTCCTGTGGTCTGACGAATCAACGTTTAAAATTCTTTTTGGAAATCATGGACACTGTGACCTCTGGCCTAAAGACCACTCAGCTTGTTATCAGTGCACAGTTCAAAAGCCAGTATTCATGGTGGTATAGGGGTGCATTAGTGCACATGGCATGGGTGACGTGCACATCTGTGAAGGCACCATTAATGCTGAACAATAAATACATGTTCTGGCAACATGTGCTGCCATCCAGACGACATCTTTTTCAGGGAAGAACTTGATTATTTCAGCAAGACAACGCCAAACCACATTCTGCATGTATTACAACAGCATTGCTGCCTGCAGTCCAGACCTGTCACCACTGATAACATTTGGCACATTATTAAATAAAAATATGACAAAGGAGACCTTGAACTGATGAGCAGCTGAAATCATATGTTAAGCAAAAATGGGAAAACATTCCACTTTCAAAACTACAGCAGTGTCTCCTAAGTTCCCAAACACTTACAGAGTGCTGTTAAAAGGTCAGGTGATGAAACACAGTGGTAAACATGCCCCCGTCCCAACTTTTTTGGAACGTGTTGTTGGCATCAAATTCAAAGTGGGCATATATTTTGCAAAAAACAACAAAATTTGGAAATGGGATAGATAGATAGATAGATAGATAGATAGATAGATAGATAGATAGATAGATAGGTAGATAGATATATAGATAGATAGATAGATAGATAGATAGGTAGATAGATAGATAGATAGATAGATAGATAGGTAGCTAGATAGACTAAAACTATAAATAACAAAAAAATCACTAATATTATTAAATATTTCATTATAAATAGTGACATTAGTAATAACCAAAAATAAAAGTATATTGTGAAAACTACCACACTAGTGGCCAGAGCTTGACATTAGGCTTTTTCAAGAAAGGTCAGAAAGGTCAACAGCAAAAAAGAGAAAATGAAGAGAAAATAATTCAGTTCCTCCAGTTCCTCTGATTCAGAAACAAAAAAAGAGGAGAGAGAAGGGAAGAGAGAGTGATTTTAGCTTACTACTTCCCTATCCTGCTATATTCACCACTTCATATCACAGGAGTGGTGTTTTCAAAAATTGTTAACTTCAATCCAAAAAAGTCTCTCCAGGAGTCTTACACACACACACAGAGCAAACTAGCTACCACGGCTTCTGCACCAGACAGCATGCCCAAACAACAATATCCGGATGATAACACCTTCCTAGGCACAAACATGTGATCAAACAGACGTAATACAGAGCTACACAGTTCAACTGACCCAGGAGAGAGAGAGAGTAGCAGCAACCAGCTGAGGGAGAGCAACAAGTAACAGTGTCCATTTGTGGTTTATCAGGATCTATAGAGATGCAATCTATTTGTTGCAGTAAGTTTACCTAGACAAAACTGACCTCTCAGCAGCTCTCGACTTCAGTGGGTTTAAAAAAGAATTAATTGTTCACAGAACAAAAAAACTTATCCGTGAAATTCAGACTGTTGCAAATTGCACAGACAGATAGATGATAAAACCTCAAGCAGAAGTTTTTAACCTGTGTTCACAACGTGATCCCATGGCAGTCATGAAAGTGGTTCTACAAGACGTGCACAGTTACACACACAGAGAAAATCATTTTCACGAGTGCATAGAAGCGCTACTGAATGGCTCTGCCTACTGGCTAATGTCGATTATGAACTTCTATTGGGTGAGCCCATTACTGAAGGAGGGTCTTGACTGACTGCTACACTGGAAGCATTTTTCAGCTGCATTTTGTGTTAGCTGAGCAATGCAGGCCCACTAAATGAGTAGACTTACTATCTGATTATTCTTCTGTCATTTCTTCGATGTATATAGTGGTGTGGTTTGGGGGCCCGGTTGGCAAAGAGGTGGTTGTCAAATATGTTAATCCCAAAAAAGGGATGCACTGTAAAAAGGTTAAGAACCCATAATCTAAACAACATGGAAAATCAGTCTTGCTGCTGATAAAGTCAGATAACTAAGCTGCAACTGCTAGCAGAAAAGCAGTCAAAGCTAATTTGCTCCCATCAGACTTTGGCGTGTTATTTTTTCGAGCTGTTTTCGAGATGCTGGTGGGTGGATCTTTCACATTCCAAAAACACTGAAGGAATCGTAGTTTCTTTCACTTTATTATGGAGGATCAGTTAACTCTGCATGCAGGTCATAGTCTTGCAGCGTCAAATACTGATTGCATATTCTCATATTGAATGTCCTTCTTGGTGCATCATCTGAATATTTCAGGTTTGAATAGCCTGTAGCCGCTGTAAGGTTCAATGACACTTTCACCATCTTGTAACTTTTGCACTCCAGCGCGGCACAAATGGTCGGCAATGTTTTCGTGAATAGTTTACAATCATAAGCAAAAGTAACGTGCATTGCTCTTTTTCAGTATCTGTGCCTCACTCTGAGTGCTCAGAGGTAAGCATTACCCAGGAGTGTCTAAGTAACTGACTGCTGCAATGCATCATGGAAGATGCACAGTTTTTTTTTTTTTTAATTAAATAAATAAATAAAGCTCATGGAGACCTCAGCTGGAATAAATATGTGAATATCTCAAACTGCAGTGGCGCAATTAAACCTCTCTTGGTTCAATATTTGGGTTGTGTAGGCCAGTACAGCAGTAGATCATCCCTTTAATGCCAAAATTCACTTGTTTTTGCAAGTGGCCACACGGCAAAATGTGACAATGATCAATAAAAATGGACAGCATAGTGGGTTGATTATGAATATTTCATTATATATTTGGAATATGTGAATTTAGTATTCATATTAAACTACAACAAAGGTTGTGTGGTGTATTATAAACATACTAAGCTAAAATCTGAAATATTACAGGACAAACACATATCAAATCCATTGCAATACAGTTTGTGTTTTTATATAATTCAATGAAGAGCATCCAGAGTTAATGCAGAGACAAAACTAGAGCCCATCCTTTATCAATGGTTGAATATAAACACCCCTCAAATGAAATGTCAGCATATTTTTAGGTCTCACTTTATTTGGATAGGCCCCAATAGGTTACCTGTAGATGTTCAGCTTATTAACAAACTATCTGCCGAAAATCATTTTATCTTTTTAACAGTGCTAAGAATATGACTAGGATTAGTAACAAGGCTAGGTTTATGTCCTAGGTTTAGGTGATGCCTGGTTATGAAGCATTTACAGTGGGCTATCCAAATAAAGCATTATTCAGCACTGTTACAAATATAATAAAATGGATAGATACAGAATAAAACAGTGGGTTTGATAATATCAACTTGGTAAAATCAGCAAATGCAGCTCAAATAATGGCAGCCCAGTTTTTTCTTTCCAGCTCAATATGATTAAAGAGAGCCTAATTGAGTGTGAATACGCCTCTGGGCAAACTTTTGCAATGGAAACTGTTCATCAGCCCAACAGCAAAACACTCTACTTAAAAAAAAACAAGAAGAATCTTCACTCTAATCTCAATGGGCCTCATTCACCAACTGTTCTTAAGAAGCAATTTCAAAAAACTGTTTTTACGAAGATTCTGACCTTCACCAGTGTTTTCTTATTTGGGATAGAACAGAATCTGTACACACTCAAGACAAAGGTGTGAACAAAGGTGTGAACAGTTCTGTGGTTTAAGAACACGTTATGAATCTGATGTAGAATTTCTCTTAGGAACAAAAGTACTTATGCACAAAAGTGCATAGACTGTATGGTAAAATGTGTGAAGCAGTAATGGCTATTGTCACAACAAATCTGCACCATCATGAGGAGCTTTTTAAGGAATTTAAATATCTATTTATTCGATTTTGTAGGCCTATATTAAAAGTAAAATATTTTACTAGATTTATTTGTATTTGAAGACCGATGGTAAAAAAGCTGTTCCTGAGTTTTAGGCTGAAGCGCCTTATG